GACAATTCGTTTTTCTGAATGGCTTAGCGTCTAAAAGCAAAGAAATAATCTCTGGTGTGCCTCAGGGTAGCATTCTTGGCCCGTTGCTTTTTAACTTATACGTCAATGATATTGTACATATATGTCAACAGGCGAAGTTTATAATCTATGCGGACGATACTAGCATATTTCTATCGTCCAGCTCCTACGCCGAGATAACCAATATGGCAAATGATGTTCTACGTAAATTAAGCTCTTGGTCAAAACAGAACCGTCTAAAAGTTAATTCTAATAAAACTAAAGCCGTTTTCTTCTACACAAGAGGAACGCCTATCCCATTGCATCATAACATAGCGTTTAATCACACAAACATCGAAGTTTTGGACACTATAAAAGTGCTTGGCACGTACTTCTCCAGTAACATGCAATGGGACGAGCATGTTAACTTTGTACTAGTCAAACTTAGTAAAATAGCTGGTATACTGAATCGAAATAGGTATATTCTTCCGGAATCAGTTAAATTATTAATCTACAATACGCTATTTGTATCTCATATTAACTATTGCCATCTTGTATGGGGCACAACAACAGAATCTAACCTCCATAAATTACACTTAATGCAAAAGAGAATGATACGCGTTATTGCCAATGTCTCATACACCGAACATACTGACTACCTTTTCAAGAAATATAACATTCCAAAAGTTCGTGACATATACCGAAGGAGGCTTATGCGAGATTTTTATTATAGCATTAGGAAAAATACCTCTACACTCTTAGAAATAGGAAACTTAGAAAAAAGGCAACCTTCGCATAAAACACGAACTCCAGAACCATGGATAGTTCCTCGTTCTCGGACAAATTATGGTGACCAAATGCTTAGGAATACTTTGCCTCGACTACTAAATTCATTTGAGGAGGCTGGCACCGATATATCCTCTATAACCCCTTCTGAACTGAGATATCTTTTATGTTCATTTTCTGATACCGGTGCCCTTAGAACTGCCTGAGATGAAAACCAGCTATTTCCTAGAATTGTTTTGTGTTCCTTACCCGACCTAATCATGTTAAATTGCAACTGTATACTAATGTGTGGAGCTGTATCGAATGAGTGAATCTGATTGACCAGGAAGTGTTTTGTTACTGTGTGTGGGTGTTTTGTGAGTCCAATGCTGCCATCATTTAAAGGGGGCCGAGGGCCCCACAAGCTGCGTTTGTAGCTTTTTTCCTCGGCCTCCTCCATTCTGTATGAAATGGAAAACCAATAAAGAAAGAAAGAAAGAAAGAAAAGCCTTTCCATCAAAAACGGCTCTTGAAGTCGCCAAGTTTTTCATCGATTCCATTGTCCTCCGGCACGGCACCCCCGAAGTCTTGATCTCAGACCGTGGATCCTCGTTCATGGCCCAGCTGACACGGGAAGTCCTTCGTCTCAGCCACACCAGCCATCGTCGCACCACGGCCTACCACCCGCAGACCAACGGACTGACGGAAAGACTTAACAAGCCCATCGCCGACATGATCTCCATGTACGTCGACGTGAAGCACAAGACATGGGACGAGGTGTTGCCGTACGTCACATTTGCCTACAACACGGCCGTGCAAGAGACCACGGGGGTTACTCCCTTTCAACTGGTTCTTGGTCTCAAGTAACGACAATACTAGACGGAATGTTACCCCACGAACGGGCTGTCGAGGGTAGCGACGATGCCCAGGTGGTTACCCAACGGGTAGAAGAAGCGCTTCAGCTCTCCAGGCTCCAGATTAAAGCCCAACAACGCGTCGACACTAGCCGCTACAACCTTCGTCGTCGGGACGTCCACTTCCAGCCCGGAGACAGGGTGTGGGTGTGGACACCGATTCGCAGCCGCCTTCTCGGCGAGAAACTCCTGAAACGCTACTTTGAACCCTACAACGTGCTTCGTCGACTCGAAGATCTGAACTGCGAGGTGATGCCCGACGGAACAAGGACCTCATCACGCCGCCCTCCACGACCGGAAGCCGTCCACGTCGTACGACTCAAGCCGTCTATGATCGATAGGACTGTGAATTGTATTTGGTAATAAGCTCGAAAGGACTGTGCTGCTCAAGTCTACGCAGTTTGCCATTATTTCTTTTTACTCGTTTTTTGTTTTGCGCGTTTTTCTTTCCCGGCACGTCACATCGAGACGATGCGCTTTTAAACGGGGGAATAATGCCACCCGCGTCGGGCGAGCGATCGCGTGCGTGGCCGAGTGGTTACCGCGCTTGACTTCCGCGCGGTAGGTGTAGGTTCGAATCCAGTCAGTGGACTGTCCTTTCATTCATTCTTTCAATTTGGCCTTCTCGTAAGTTCGAGAACATTCTCGTCTGATCTAGTTCCGAATATTCTACGCACCGAAATTTCTACGCCAAATGATCCAGAAACGGACGAGGCGAACGGAATCAGTCTCTCTCCAGCGCTCGATCCTGCGGTTTCGCCGACATCAACGCCCGCGACGCTCTGCTTTTATCTTTTGTTTTATTTTTAATTTCGCGCAAAAGTTCGCCCTATTAAACATTTAGTCTTTTGAGTTGTCATCGCCTCATCAATTGTCATTTGTGGCCATATGATTCCTTGGGGTGTGATGTGGTGGCCTAGAAACTCCAGGTCGTCTACACCATGCATGGATTTGCTCGGCTTGACAACATCACCGGCTTGTTGGACTCGGTTGAACAGTAGATGAAGGGGTTTCTCGTGTTCAACCGTGGTTGTGCTGGCTACGAGGATGTCATCGAATTAGGCGAAGATAAAATGAAGTCTTCTGGTGACCTCATCGATGAATCTTTGAAATGTCTCCGCCGAATATTTGAGGCCGAAGAGTATTCGGACATACTCAAAAAGGCCGGATGGGGTGGTGATTGTTGTCTTAGGAATGTCTTGAAGCGCTACCAGAGTTTGGTGATAGGCCTTCGCCAAGTCTATCTTTGAAGAGATAATGATCCCAGAGATGCTGGCAGACAAGTCTTGTATGTGTAAGAAACAATATAGGTCAGGCACCGTGGAGTCGTTAAGTGCCCGATAATCTGCTCGCGGGCGCCAGTCCTTGGGATCTTGTTTCGGGACCATATAGAGTGGTGCCCCGGAGTTGTTAGAAGGTGGTTGTATAATTCCTAACTGCAACATGTGTTAAACTCCCTATGCACGATTTTCTATCGCTCATCTGCGAGTCGACGAGGTCGTGCAGAGACCGGTGCACCTGTGGTAGTGGTATGATGCGTGACACCATGGTTGACGGGCACTTCCTGTTCATGGTTCCGTGATAGATAGGGAACTTGTTCAAAATGACTTCTTAGGGGTACGCTGCGCAAGAGCGACGCATCGGGGAAGATTCAAGTGTCGACATGATTCTTTGAACAATGTTTTGGTGGCATCGATTAATGTGCGGCTGCAAACGTTGACTGTAAGCCCGAAGTAGTCGAGAAAATCAAGGCCTAAGATGACCGGTTGGACGTCCGCAATAATAAATACCCACCTGAACGTTCGCCTGAGCCCAATGTCAATGTCAGGGAACTTTGGCCGTAGGTGGACGATGCGGAACTGTTGACACCCCGAAAATACGACTTTGCTGGTAGTAGCTTTCGGTCAGCAGTACTACCCATCATGAGGGCGCCACAGTCCGATCAAAGCTTCAGCGCCGCAGGGCTATGAAAAAGCGTAGCTCCCCGAGTGATCTCGCGACGCTACAGAGCGGATCATAACGCGCCAATGTATAGCACAGCGGGCCAGTGGCATCACGACTGTGCAATACAGTTAAACTGTCCTGTGTGGTGGGCACCATTAACCCCCTCCCCCTCGCAATTACTTCAGTTGTCACAAAAAGCTCCTCACAAACCAAGAGCACTAGGACCCCAAGGCGGATTTAGACTAGTGTGGATAATGCAATTAACGCAAAGGTGCAAGCGAGCTGGAAAAGCATTAAGAAAATAATCTCTGGAAAAGAATAACAAAGGACAAACCAAAATCCTCCAGCACAGCTTGGAGACTTTTGCGCGAATAAAAAAATCCGCCACTCCTGGTATCGAACCAGGGACCTCTCCATTTCCAGTGCAGCGCTCCACCAACTGAGCTAACCAGAAGTTAGACGTTGGTAGAGCAAACATGTTTTTTTCAGCTGCCACCAGTCTAACACCAAAAAAGGGTGAACGGCCTGCATTTTAAGGTTATGGTGATAAAATAATTAATGCAAAGGAGTAAGCTATAGCTGGTCAAGAATGAGGAAAATAATCCCTGGAGGAAGGAAACGCAGGACAAACACAAATCTCCAAACACGGCTAAGTGACTGGTGCGCAACCAAAAAAAATATACCTCGTCCTGGTAATGAACCAGTTAGTTAGTATTTGGAGACTTGTGTCTGCCCTTTGTCCCCCTTTTCTTCTTCTCCAGGGATTATTTTCGACGTTCTTGTCAAGCTCGCTTGCACCTTTGCATGAATTCTATATCATCATAAACTTAAAGTGAAGGCTGTTCACTCTTGTTGGTGCTAGACTGGTGGCAGCTGATAAAACAGGTTTGCTCTACCTACGTATAACTCCTGGTTAGCTCAGTTGGTAAAGCGCGCCGATGGAAATGAAGAGGTCCCTGGTTTGATAACAAGACTAGGTGGATTTCTTCGGTCATGCGCCAGTCACGTAGCCGTGTGTGAAGATTTGTGTTTGTCGTTCATCCCTCCTGTTCCCCTTCTCCAGGGAATATTTTCTTCGTTCTTTAAACCAGTCTTGATAATTTTGATAAACTCGGAGACGCCATGAGTGTGTAATGTGCCCAAAGCGTTCCAAACCACTTTAAGCTCCTCTGCTGATTTTATGTTGAAGCTTTCTGTGCTCTTTTCACCGCACTCATGCGCAAAATAGCCCAACTGCATGTCCTCTTAACGAATTAGTTAGCTTTTTTTACGGCCATACGAACTGTATAAAATGTTCATAGAGGAGTCCACCTCTTTTTTTTAATAGGTGTGTGCTTTATGACAATGTGTGCACTATGTCCCTTATAATATGTTTTTCAGATGAATGGAAAGGAGCTTGAAGCAAACATCTATCATGATAGAAATCGAATGGCGTCAGTGAAGGTAGAAGAAAGGAACGGCAGTGTCAAAGTGGTATGTAAAACTCTGTTCTTTTTCTGCACCTCCCGTTTAAAATTGACTCACCACAGAGAGTGTGCCTTCCAGGTGGCACAAAGAAGATTAGGCATTTAATATGAAATCACGTGCCCCCCCAAAAAAAAAAATAGCAATATAATTATGATGTAAGCCAATAAGAAATTAAAGACATTATAGTTGGTCTGGACGGGATCAATTTTGATATCTAAATGAGAAATCGGCAATCACAAAGGTTATTATGAAGCCAGCATATTTCGCTATTTTGTGTTTGTATTTTTTTTTCATAAGTCCAACAGAGAAATGTTGTTATGCTTCTTGCTAGTGGAAAGTATGAATCAGTACTTTTTCTAAATAATTTATTACACTTAACCTTTATACAAAGGTTGTACTGTTCGTATTAAAAAGAAGGGACAGATATGTCAAGCCTGAGAGGGATCAGATATAATTTTACTTTTAATTACGTTCAAGGTAAAGCAAATAAAGAATACTTAAAAACACAGTCAACTGTCGGCTTCGTCCAACAAAACAGCCTATTAACCTTGTATATACAGTGTTTTTGTATTAGCGTGACTAGAATAGCTTAGGCGTTGATTTGATGGTCATGGGGGCTACTAGGAAAGATGTGAAATATAATAATCATTTCCACTAACTTAGAGTTTACTTAACTTTTCTTTATTTGTTTCATTTTTGAGCATAATGCAATTTGAGAATTGATGCTTCACCTCATTCCAGTTTAGGCGTGTCATAAAATTATTATTAAAAAAAATGAGAGACGTTTCTAAATCTCTGTAATGCGAAAATAGAGCGCAGCTCTTGAGGAGAAGGAAGGGAGCGTATGCCCCTCCTCCTCCTTCTCCTCCATTCACTCCTCTCGTCTCCTCCTCCAACTCAGTTTCCCCCCAAACTTAGAGGGGAGAAATGACGTCATATAACTTGGTGTTACATCATATATGAGAAAATTTAGGTTCTTCACTAGATTTAGCGGAAAAAATTACAACACGTAACCTCAACACCAATTCAATTCCCTGCTAAATTTAGCGGGAAATGGAATTGGTGTTGAGGTTACGTGACGTCACTTTTCCCACGTAATCTCGTGACGTCATTTTTCCCTCTTAATTTAGCGCAGTTACACCGACCCCGACGCCGCGAAACACGGAATCGGTCGACTAAGAGCTGCACTCAAATTTACAGTGAGGCTACGGGGAGAGCGATATCACCCTTGTATATGGCTTGAAACCGAAACTCGGCCAGCAAAGCCCCATCGCTGTGTCAATGTCTCTGCTCTTCGCTTGCCTGGCACTCTTGACGTCATTTGAAGCGTAGAAACGTGAAATGCGGAGCCGGCGCGGAATGAAAGAATCGAAATTACGGGCTCGCTTAGCCGGCTCTGAATCAGTTTCAAGCCGTGCACAAGCTGACAGTCCTCGCCCCGCAGCGCGTACTACGAATTCAAACCGAAATTTTCGGCCACGGCTCTACTAAATGACGGGGAGAGTAAATTCTCCATCTACATTGTGACCCTCAAAGTGAGAAATTTAAAATAATAATTGTCCCTTTTTATTTCATTCACTAAGTATCTAATGCAGGCGTCTTTTTTTTTCAAATTCTGGTTCCTCCAAACAAACACTCCCCCCCCCCCCCTCCCAGTATAAATAAAACACACGCCTATGGCGTAAACTAAATTCCCGATATTATGTCTTCATATTTACATGTATTATGCCATATTCAGGCACAATTCTGGAGTAATCTATTAAATGTTGTTTAGATACAAATAAGACGTACATGGAAGGGGATTCAGATTTTGAGATGCAGTACAAGCCCATCAAATGAGCCTCACAACCTGAAAAAAATATTACTTACCCATGTTTCCTGAAGAAATGTTGCGAATGTTATCTGGAAAAAAACATTTGCTCACGAAAAAAACATTTCCCACATTATCAAAAAGCTATTTTTTATTTACTATGACCATTTTATGAAAGCTCAACTAAACATGTCACACATGAAACCTTTGACATGCTATGTCCAGCATGAAAATAACTTATCGCTTTATACGTCTCTATATTTCGGGTGCTTCTTAGCTTTTTATACATATATTGGTTCCGTGATTATGATATACCATATTTTACAATGAACGAGAGGTCGAAAAATGGCGGTTCTCACAACCCCCGAAGTGCTGCTGCCTCACCTTCTTCCTCGACCACCCGAGCTCGAACTTTCTTCTCATCTTCGTATCAACATGTATACAGAAATAATAATGTAAATAAATTGAGCTTTGACAGCATCAGTACATACCCGGGAACATTTCTGGCTTTCTTCCAGCCAGTCATTTAGTCATATAATGTGGTCCAAAGAAGCCCTAGTTCCCCAACAAATGTATTAGTTTTGAGTTTGTTTAAAATATTCAAGAGGTGAAAGTAAGAGGTAAAATATGCCCTCTTATCAGCGTATTTTATCATTAAAAATTCGAGAGGGAACTAAAGACAACTTACGCGCAAGAATGCGCGAGCATTCGTTAGACGCAGCGCGTTCCTACAATCAGCGCACCACGCCTTCCCTTTTCACGCTGCACTCCGGTGGCGAGATCACGCTCCCCGACTGCGCATGCGCGGCGCCCCCCCCCCCCCCCCCCCCTCCTCGGCTTCACGGCTTCCGTGAAAATGAATCTGTGTTACCCTATTTTCCTAATGGTTCATCCTTTTTTTTAAAGCTTTTTTTTTTCCTGGCGTACTTGCGTGACGAACCATCTGATATGACGCGTCGCAGCCATTGTGGGAGTTCATTCGTTGTTTCGCTGCTATAGACCGCAGACTTCGCTCCATGGGACAGGGTAATTTAGGTGCCGTCTTTCGCGGCTTCAAAAGCTGATAACTTTTGTTCGCTTCATAAGAGAGTTAATGCTTTCGCATTAAAAGATATTGATCCAGAATGCACATAGAAAACTATCTGTCACCTCGTTGTGAGTCGCGATCTGGGCTTCGTGGTCAGTGAAAGTAAGACATTTTAAGTTGCACGACCAGAATCCTCAAACTTGTTTACTATATTGATCCAGCTTGCCTGCGTCCTTTCTCTGCTTTTATCTACCGACTTTTTTATCTGTTGCTTGGTTCGTCGCGCCTCATAATTTATGGTTGCTCCTATTACAATACTTGTACTGTGTTTGGTAGGCAGCAGCTTATTACTGCGATCGCGCATGTCTTAACACTTTATTTATTCTACATATATTTGTTACAGAAAGGAATCCTAAGTGATACTCTGAGAATCGCACCCCTGGATATCAGTGCTCGATCTGATGACAGTCAAATTCCCCATGAGATATTTCAAGTGGAACAGCGTGCTGGTATTAGAGGTAATTACAAAGGTAATCTTTCTTTTCTAAATGCTTTGAATGAAGTGTTGGCAGATCAGTCGAAACGATCAAGAACTTCATATTCAAACTTAATGTTAGACGTGTGTAATTACACTGCGTAAAATTCCTTTGTAAATCATGTCGAAATAACGAATGCCACCCAAAAATATTTTTATAAGAAGCGGGTTTTTCCCTGTGTTCCGGAAAGTGCAAACGGGTTGCTTTTTTGGGAGTAAAATTTGGTGATTCGACCCTCAATATTGCCTCGAAAATAATAAAAAAAATAAACGATAACAGTCAAATTTCCGAGGTTATGGGGGTAGAATCCTGGTCAGGATGGTGCTCCCCCAATGATAGCCCCCGGGGAAGTTGATGAAATTAAAAAATAAAAATGTTGTTCGATCCCGCTGAACACATTTAGACGTTGGTTGGCTTCACAGCGCGAAGTGTGGTCACGTTTCTTTATAGCGAGTTCGTTTCACGGCACTCGTGCCCACGCGTGCCCACTCGCAGCGTGGAACGGGTTCGTTTCGGCCGGCACTCCACGAGTGGTTGCACCTTCCGAGTTCGTTTCAGCGCTGACACCCCACGCGTGCATGCACTCGCTGCACCGAGAAAATCGGGAGTGCGCCAAAATGCAATCCCGTCATGCCTTGCTCCGGCGGGGCCGGCGAGGAGCGGGAGCAGACGACGAGGGTTCGTCTGCTACAATGTGTCGCGGAACCGAACAGAAAAAAAGTAGATTTTCCGATAGAAATTGCGTCCCGCGGGCCACGAAATCAAACGCGAGCTTAAATTGTGAGCGTCTGCTATTTCCCTAAGGGAGCAATTGACAACCCGTGATTTATTTGCAGGTTTTAAGTCGCTCTGTTACCGTACTAACGCTGAAATATACCAGTGTGTAAAGGAATGCTCAGAACAAACGTAAGAGCGGCCCCCGAGATATCTATCACCATCCGTTTGCGGGTGAAAAATTTAACATTTGTCGACAAAACTCCCCCTGCAGAAACCTCTGACTGCCCAATAAGCATCAGAGAAAGCTAAACATAGTGACTTTACCCGAGGCTTGGGCAATATCATCATGTTTCACGTTTACCTACGTCAGCTAACTTGCCCCGTCGTATTTTGTTCGAGAAAGCTCTCGTTCTCGACGCCCTCACCAAGGCTAATATCTGATCCACCTATAATGACGATCCAAATCGAAAGTCCCAGTTTTGCCGGATATTCCAACAGGCTAGTTTTAAGCCGTACCCTTTCAGTGGTTCAAGCATAATACCATGCTCAAACGGATCAAGCTTCTGCTCGGACAGCATCATCAGTTTTCTTCAGTGTAAACGGTTATAAGAATTGAAAGATCGCAACCAGTTGCTTTGTGGACAGCCGAGCTGCTTGCAGCGACCAACGTTTGTAGATAAACGTTGGTAGCGACTGCACTCCCGCATTCCCACGCATCACTCCGAACAGAAAGACACTAGTTTCGGTTTGAAGTCGGTACCTTTTCTACAACATAGATGGCGGCAGCATCAGTCTTCTGCACTCGGTGCATTTGGCGAGTTCGTTTAAGTCCAGTTTTCCGTGCAACACTTTGTGAGTGCGGTGCATTCTGGGAGAGAACTCGAACGGTGCCAGTGCGTGTGAAACTAACTCGCTATTAGAAACAAAACAAGATGAACTCAACAGTGAGTTAAAATCCCAAAATTAAATCCCACACTTTTGTCCCCAGTCTTCCACAATCGAATCTAATCCAATTCCAGAGAATTCTCTCGGCATTCTATTTGTAGCCTCATAGGGGCCTCCTTTCTCTTCAGGGACCGACCAATCTCTTCAAATTCCACTACTCTCACGTGGTGCACTGTTGCCCAATGGTCGGCGAGCTGTCAGCCTGGCGCTCCAACCGCCAAAACCAGATTCCTTCTAGAGTCATTGCCCGCATTTTTCCCGGTCTGGCTGGCGCCAACAGCTAAATTATTAAATCGGGCAAAAAGTGACAATATGACAAGAAGCGGAGAAACGCTCTATATACAGGACACTCGGTTAAAAGCTACGAGCAGTTCCAAGCGCGGGCTCTCCCAGGGATATGTCCGTGCAGCCTCCCGAAACCCGAGACGTTTCTCAACGACCACGAGGGAATCGCTCCCACTTCCCGGTCACTATGCCCTGCAATGCTCCCTCCAAATCGCCGAACTACAAACAACTAATCTTTTCTAAAGAAAACACCTTACTTAATTAACACGATTTCTGCATACTTAACAATAACCTTGCAGTGCATCATTGAAACTTGGCTTTCAGTTTTGGTTATCCTTGGGTTATGTTCCCTGCGGAAGATTGCATGAGGATAGTAACAACTTTGTAATTTGATCTATATTAAAGATAAATGGAATCGTTAAGTTAAAAACAGTTTTCCCCGCGATTTTTTTTTTTTGTATTTCACGGCTAGCATATACTCAAAGGTACGTTTTACGGTATTTTAACGTTTCTCCTTACAGTTGGTCCAGAAATGAAAAGCAGTGAAACTTTTTTTGCGGAACTGAAAATTGTGGCTGACGGTTATCACCAAAGTGCCTTCGAAACTCCTCAAGGACTAGTCCAATATTTTGCCCTCTGCATGAAGCTGGTAATATTGTTTTTCTATTATAAAAATAACAAAAAACAACCAGGCGAACTGGTGAATTTTCAACATCTTGAAATCCCGAGACCTGTGTGTGTGTGTGCGCGTTGTCCATTTTTTTTTTCTAAGCTTGGTGTTTTTGAAATGCATTTTTCTTTATAGATTTCCGAATGCATGCGGTTTTTCAATTTGTCACAAACAACGATTTAATAATCAACGAGAATGGAAAATATAAACTTTGTCACACAATTATTTTTGTGTATATGTTGAGTTTGGTGTATTATCGTAGACATACTGTAAGGTTTTAGACCCACAAGTAGAAAAACAAGCGACATTCCTTTAGAAAGAAAGGTTCTATATACTCCATACTAAAGGAGGAAACGATATTATTCCCTTTGCTCCTGTAGAGGCAAAGCAACATTCGTCCCTGCAAACAGGAAAGGAAAATTCCTCCCTCATCTGCGTCTTAACATGGCGGCCCGGATCGAGTGAATCGTGTCTAATAAGGCTTAACAACAACCCCAAGATTGTCGGTTTTTACACGGAACGCTGCCGCGAATCACCCGGAAATATTTAGCATAGTTCTCCGACAGGAAAATGCGTCGCACTAAAGGCGGCCCTTTAAAGCCTGCTGAACAATATCGCAAACAAAAATGAAAAAAAACAGTCAGCTATTTTGAATTTATTTGATACTTTCTGAGCGAGAGGGGCAGCAAATAAAAACGTAAGACAAGTTTTTCACACACTGTATTTCTTGCCGAAGCCGGCTTCCTACGCAGGCAAGGAAACTTAGGGTTTCAAACGCAGCCTCTCATTTGCGTTTTGAAAACTGTGATGACAAACCGAGTCAGTGGAAGCCCGGCCACTTGTTGCACTTCATGTCTTACCTTTGCTATTCCCTGTGTCAGAATTCCTTCGTTTGCACCGCATATCCTGTAGGAGTATGAAACCATTTGCGAAACCAAAGGTTGCTTCGGAAACAGCAAATTCAATGCAGCCTTCCTTGCTCAGTGCACGGTTCAGTAGATATCGCGAAGAGTGAAAGGCTCCTCATTAGATGATAGATTCAAGTCGAGTAAATGAGTAATTACAAATATCTCGGCTAGGTGGCGCGAGCTACCCCCCCCCCCCCCCGGCCAGGTACTGCTCAAATTATAAGTCGCAGAAAATATATATATCTATAAATTGATCGTGCGCAAATATACATTATGTTTGAGGCAACTTCATCACACACACACACACGTGCATTTTGCGTACAACTACATACGATGGCATTAACGAAATCAGTCATACACAGAAAGAGCGTACACATACACAGAACATACAAACATCAATATGATCGCGTACTACATGAATGAACCCGTACATTGCGCTTCCGCCTTTAATACTCGTCGTTTTGAAGGTTCAGACCTATTCGATAATTACGCACACAATGATGTTCCTAGTATGAATATATTTGCCTAGCAATGTCATTACTCAAAATGTATTTTGAACGGCCTATGGAATTAATCTCTTAGGAAGAAGTAAACGTCCATCCATTCGCGTTTCATTTCAATTGACTTTTCTCAAGAAATGGAAAGCCCAAATTCTGTATAGACAGAATATTATTGACCTCTTCTAAATATTGCTTTAAATATTTTTTAGGTAAACATTCGTTACGAAGATACTTCAAATCCAAGAGTTCAGTTTCTACTCACTACAGTGGAAGTAGCGGTACGTCCTCTTTGCTGTAAAATATGTCTGTCATTTCAATATAGAAACGACTGACTAAAGTTTACAAAACATTTGCTTCCTAGGAGAAGGATTTTCCAGAGTTGTTTACTGCTCCTGACGTGGACTGCCCAGGCCGGTCTATGAAAACATACATGGATCCACTCTTGATGCTTAATAAAACTGCAAACGTTTATGGGAAGAGTGATGAGGATGTTACTGTTTTTGTCACATCGTAAGTAACTCCCAGTCCCTAGCACACAAAAATCCGCATCTCTAGACAAAATCGTCAAATGCACACTATGCAGATTAATAGCGTTTCTAACTACCGGTGAAATTAGCCGGCTGTGCTACGTTTGATAAGGGGTCATAACCAAAAGTGGAGATTCTTCCAAAAATGGAGATTCTTGCTGTCGTTGTTTGTTTCCCGGAATGTAATCTTGTGACTGGTGTAGAAGTGCCATTATTTAAAGGGACACTAACGGGTCAATGTCATATTTCTTTTATTATCCGAACCGATTGAAAACGATGCCTGGACATCACCATCAAAATGCTGAACTTGGGAACTCAGTATTTGTGAAGTAAAAAATCAATTTTCCAAAGCCAAATTTGAAGTTCCCGCACGAGCCGCGCCAGTGCGGTGACGTCAAAGATTGAGTCGTCCTGCAACTCGAGTCTCTCTCTCGCCTTCGAACCATCCCGATACCAAGTGCCATGCTCGCCTGCGTCCCGCGATCAAATGCTCTTCTCCGTGCAGGTCACCTATTGCAGTGAGCAGACGACGCTTCACTTTCGAGTTTAAAGTTCTTTTAGTGCCCTTTCGGCGATCTAAAACTTTCTGAAATGGTGTGAGGTCGAAGAGAACGCGCAGTGGACATTTGTGAGCGACTTGAGCGGCTACCTCGCACCGGGTTTTGCCAGAAACGCTGCCTCGCGGAGTCACAGCAGGAACTACGGTACACCCGTACCAAACCCAATTATTTCGACCATTTGACGTTTATTTCTTGTTCTTTTGTTTTGTTTTTCGACGTTTGAGAGGCCTTCGGGCTCCTAAGAAAGAGAACTTCGTCCGATCCCCCGATCATCCACAGTGCTACCTGTGCCGAGCGCCGCCAACGCCGCCATGTTTTCTGGAGAGGATAGAAAGCCAGGAGGCGACTTCACTCCGGACACAGATTTTCGGTGTTTCAAAAAAAAAAAAAAAAAAGGAAGGCCATCGAATAATGCGTTCGCAATTGCTTTAAAAAACATGTTTTACGAATGCCATTTTAATTTATTATTGAGGTGTCGCTTACAAAACTTACAAATGTAATCATTTTGACGCCACAAATAAAAAGAAGCAAGGAGTTGAAAAGTGGCCTCGATGATAACTCAGCTTTCTTCTGTTATATAGAACTGGTGGTCTTCAAAGTCGCGAGCTCGGCTGGGCTTTCTTTTTTTTTATCCTGCGTGACTGTACACAAAGCTTTGTGCCCTTTGTGTATGTTAATTTTATATTTTGCTTTCAGGCTGGATCTTGCCGACAATTTTGATGGCACTGCCTACAATCGCGTTATGGGTGAGTGTTCCTTTCCTGTATTCTTACGTGTCGCAATTTAGTCCATGTCACAATTGTTTAAGACTCCGGGCTCACCCGCATATTGGCATGTTATATGACCAGGTTCATACTGGTACTCAAAAAAAGGTTTCACTGCGTGGAGGGATGACACGGTGGAAATAATCTATTCGTTTCATTCTGGGAAGGATTGGTGGGACGAACGAAAAAATAAGCAAAAGGTACCTGAACGTTGACTATGAGTTGCAAAACGTGCAGGTGTTTTGGTAAAAGGAACAACAGAGAAAGTCAACTAGTTGGGGATGGTGCCAGGGCAGAAAAGACTCCTTCAAAAGACGGTGCCATCGACTGTCCACTATTGCTCAATCATGTACTATGAGCATGGATTGGACACGGGGGCTGCGTCAGCATTCGGCGAGGACTCGGATCCAATCACACTCTTTGTGCCAGAGCAATGGCGACTGCCAATGTTGCTTGTATTGTAGTGGGTCCATCGTGATGCAGTAATTCGCCAGATAATCATCTATAACTTACTAATTAGCTTTCTATTGTATGCGTGAGCCGCAACACCTCAATTACGCATTTAAAATAGACAGTCCGTCGTCAAAATTGCTCATAGTTAGGTTTTACGAACAAATCAATTATGATTTGCTTCACAGTGTAATAGACCTTATTTAATATTATTAGCGCCCCCTGTTGGCGGTCATGCGCAACATCGAGCCTCCTCGCCATCTGTGACGCTTCCCCACCATCCCGGCTCTGTCTGCATAGCGTTCTGCGCGCTAGTTCTTATGATGTTGTTTTCTTCAGAGGTGGTGGTTGCGTGAGGTGGTTCGATACCAGGACCAGGCGGGTTTATGCGGTCCAACACCAGTCACCTAGCTGTGTTGAAGATTTGTGTTTGTTAAGCAACATATTAAAACCGGAGACACGGAACAAGAAGGACACACATATCACCGTCTCAATCACAGCTTTCTTCTTGTTCCGTGTTGCCGGTTTTATTGTGTTGCTCACTATTCACCAGGGCACCTGTGCTCTAACTCTTCTTTCACTTTTGTTTGTTCTTATATATATATATATATATAATATATATATATAATATATATATAGCGAAACTTGAATTTAATTTATGTTCCCAGACAAAGTGAGGGAACATATAATGCAAATAATGCGCAAAGAAAACGTACCGCCGGGAAACATTTGTCGGCTGTTCGCCGCATCTTCACTCAATTGAGTCCAGCCTCAACAATACCAATTTTTTACAGGACAGACGCGCCTTGGAGGTCTCTGCAAGGACGGAAGGCGCGTTGCAATCGTGGAGGATGTTCCACCCACCTACTCTATGATTCAAATTATTGCGCACGAACTTGCTCATACGTAAGTTCAGAATAATATTCTACATATATAAGAAATAAATATTGGATCAAGTGTATCAATAAAGATATCTGTCGAGTTTAGGCATTAAAATGATAATTTATTGGGTGGTCAAGTTAATGGTTCGTGAAAGCTATAGCCTGTTTGGCACGTTTGGGATTTTTTACTTTCGCTGGTATAATGACAATATAACAAATATTTTGTATACTAAGTTTATATTGCTTTTTACCCACAGACTTGGAGCTGCACATGATGGCGAAAAGCCTCTTTGGAGTATAGCTGATAAGTTAAAAAGCCGCTGCCATTATTCGTCCGGGCACTTGATGGCACCTTCAACTCACGGAGAAAACAACGGGCACTTTTCCAATTGCTCTATTGAACAGATTGAGGCATTTGTCGGGTAAGAAACACGTGTGAACATACATTTGCCATGTTCATTAGATGCATTGTCACCAAAACATTTACAATCACGTATACCCCCCTACCAGAGAAAAAAACGGGCTTCAACACCCCATCTAGCTTTTTCCCTACGCCTGAGGCCCACAAAACCTCAATTATTTCTCAACTTGTCAAACCGATCAAACCGGAAGCAACTCTTTCTGTTCGAGCCCTGAGTTGCACCTAGACTTCTCCAAAAACGGGCCGGTACCCCAAAGGAACGCGGAGGGCTGTTGTATTCCATGATGTCCGCGATAGCACCACTATGTGTTACGATTCCCGGCACCACAGTACTTCGTGGAGAACAGTATTTTGTGCTCAGAATGGAGATTACCGGTATGTTTGCTCTGGCACACTAGTGTTAACGTGAATGGCATATAATAAATTCTTGCGAAGGTATTCCGCTCACGGAGAAGCGTAATTCTAAGAAACGTGGCAAAAGTGACCATTAAACAAATTATTACAAGGAAAGGTTATATCTAAATACTAGGCACTTAGGAAACTCAAGTAATATACTTGGGAAACTTGCGCTTTTCCTCTTATGAATGACAAAGGTTCGCGTACAAACGTGTGTTTTACTGGAGCTTAAACATGCTTATTTTTGTATTTCTTCTTATATTATAATCTCCAGTCTAAAACTATCGTTTTTTCTGTAGTTTCTGGTACCAGTTACGCGCTTTGTTGATTCAAGTGTATTACGGTACAGGCCAAAATAAAAAAAAAAAGATGTGAGAAAGAGTTCGACTTCTGAGCGGGACTGGGGGTTAGTAGCGCTCACGTATAAGCATTTTGACGGGAATCACCAAACCGGGTAGCAAGATATTGAGTTGCTTCGACACCTGGCAACGTTGGAGTTTGTTGCGAACCCAGGCACAACTACTAATTTTTTAACGGGTTTAAATAGTTGTTCTATAGACGCAAGTGTTTTTCCCTAAAAAGAGCCACGACAGTGCGCACCGAGCAGGCGTAGTTGCTGATTTTGTATAAAGTTACCTCGCTTGGTGAATCTCCACACTCGAACAGCTTAATGAAGGCGCTCTGTCTGTATTGGTGGCTGTTCTGAGACATACTGCAGCTGCTTGAACTTCCTCAACAAAAATATAAGAAAAAAAAATACCAAGGACATAGTGAATAAATATATTACCTCTAACGAGGCACTCATGTGTTTTTTAAAGAGGCTTGTTTTTGATGGCATATTGTTTCTTGGGCCTTACTAAATAAGACTGTTCTGCTCCAGATGGCAAGACGTCTTACTAAGCTCGCAGTAAAAATAAAATTAACGGGCACTACTTCCGCTCCAGGGGCCATCCTCGGGTCCGCTCCATATCCGTAAACGTTTACCAATAAAAATAGTTATCGGTTTGGAGATTCCAACCATTACTATTATTGCTGTTTTTAAGCGCGTTGTGCATTCTATTTTGACGAAAACGTCAAATCATTGGGTGTGGGAGACTTCATACAGCAATAATTGTTTGAAACCGCCGTTTGACAGCGCCCCCTAGTGTCGGCTCTAAGGAGTAGGGAGAGGGGCGTGTCACAATGATTTATGAAATTTTTCATAAGAAAATCGGCCGCCCATCAATGTAACTTCTTTTTTATGGTGTTTAGAGTTTGTAAAATGAGTTTGCACCATAAGTAGACCTCAAAATTCACTTGAGTGCGGGTGGAAGTGTATCTTAGCATTCTAAGATCAGAGCCCAAGAAACAATTCAAGCTGGGGAACAAAATTGTAACTGGATGCCCCCAAAACGCTTACTTAAGGCCGGATTTGATGGCGCATTAATGTGGTGAAAAATATACAATCTTCGCCTGGTGAAACATTTGCTTCGCGCAAGGCACAACAGCTTTTCTGACGGCAGGCCCAGAAAAGACACTGCAGAGTAAAATTCGTCGTTTTTCTTTTTACGTTCTTGTTTTCTTTCCGTGATAAAGATGTGTTGTTACGCACGTGAATGTAGGGAGCAGTTTCAAGAGGCACCCGTCTTGGAGAGGCCCTTCTAGGCACGTTGAGTCTTACGACGCCAACTTGAATAACGTGGAGAACTGTGGCAATAGCTTCGAGAGGAGGTTGGACTCGTTCGATGAGAAGAAACCAGGCTATCCTGTACGAGGGATCATTTTCTAACAAGACGTGCCTTACTTGTGCTCTCCACGACACCGATCTCGCGATCGCTGTACGACAAAATAAAAGTGTTGGCAGAACTCCTACCCGACACATCACGACTAATTTGAATACGTAAGGACTATTGAGCACCGTTTTATAAAGAACCAGTGCAGAAAACAGTCTTTAAAACCTGAAACTCTTTTTGATAACAACAGCGGTTTCTGTACCCCGCCAAAATTTTAGGATTTCGGAGCTAGGAAGCCATACCAAACGTTCCGAAATCCAAGTAGGCTCCACTGGAGTGTGTCGCGCCGCTCGTTTGTTTTCGCCGCCTAAAGCTGGTTTTGGTCGATAAATACGCTATTTTAAGCACGCAAATTATGAAAGTAAAATAGATCTCCAAGTTTAGCGTATCCGCAATGTCGCCTGTTTAGTCAAAAGCTATAAGGTGAGGGACTGCTTTGATACGCATTAAATTGTATTCAAAATCTTTTTTTCTTTCTTTTTTGGCTTGGCTTTTAACCGCGTTTACCATGGTATGGTTTTTTTCAGTCCTTCTATCCATTACAAAGCCCCAAAATGTTTTGAAAGGCATCCCGATTAGTTGTACATTATTGCGCCTATTACATATTGTGGCTATTATAGGCGCCTAAATTTAATTTAAGTTTTTATCGCATGTTGCGTCGGCCTCTGCATATAAAGGATTTTAATAATTGTCGTAGTACGGTTTCTCATTCGCAACTTTCTTTTTTTTCAGTACATTACCCCAAAGCTGCCTTGATGTGAAATTGGAGACTTACCACAAGGTGATAGCGAGCGAACTTCCGGGGATGAATTTGAACCGAACGTATTACTGCCAGAAGAAACACCCAAACTATCCACGGATCGTTCCAGATAACGTAAGGCTAAGTATAAAGAAAACGCTTAGATACATTTCTTGTACGATGATTCTTCTGGGATCATTCTATCTGCACATGCTTACTTTGTGCAACTAGGTGAGCGCACATAAGTTCACCTTCATGCAAGTTATCGTCGTTGTGCCACCCGACCTAGCGTGATAATTGGTAAGCTGCAGCATCATGCACACACTAAAGTCGTGTAGAAATCTAGGTAATCAATTAAATCATTTGCAGGCATGTAAGTATATATTTTCAGTACTTGAGTACGCAGGTACAGCGCCGCCGAATACTAAGATTTATCCTCCTCCGGTCATCAGCGATTGGCTGGTTCTTGTAGAGCCCAACACACTCAAAGTGGATGGAGCTTCACACATCAAAAACACACATTGGAAACGACAGTGAAAAGGGGGACGGAAAAAATCTAAAAGCATGTTACAGGTTTTATAATATACACACTTTATATGTCCTTGTTTCAAAGGTAGTCACCCAAGAATACTTAGCTTTTACAACTTTCCCATTTTACGGAGGGGATGCACTCAGCACTTTCCAGCAAGCGAAGGCAGTCGTAACACAGAATGTATTGTGTCTTGCTTTCGCGCTTATGTTTCACAGATAAACTTGATATTAGTTTTTTTGCCCCAGCATAACAAATATCCTATTGTGTAGAATGGAGTGAAATGCGAGGTTCGCGTCTCCTACGGTTGCATACCCCAGCTTTGACCTTGCTATTTCGTGTCTTGCCATCTCCTTTGATGTACGTGCTTGTAACATTTCCCCTCGTCTGTCGCACTCTTCACTACAACATATGTGAGCGGGGTCTCTGCTTGGTGACAGCATTTCGAGCTTGCTCTCGTCGCATGCGTTGTTTGAGCCGTTTTTTGAACATCGGCTTCCTCAACCGGAGGGTTGAGAAACTGCACTTTCTCACTTTTGTGGGCGTATTTTAATCTCGCGAAGTTTTGCGTGATGCTCCTGCGTTAGACAAAACTGCCAGGATTAAGCCGTATAAAAGATTACCTGTTAAAGAATGAGTTAAACATACTTCCAACCCGTGGTACCGTAACTTGCTAAAAGACGATCCCTCACTAAGAGGTGAAGGGTTCTTGGAAGTACGCACAGTGATATTGCACCCGATCTGGCGGAAGTTTATCATGATCCCACTCAACCGCGAATGGGCCACTAAAATAATAAAGTCTTAGAAACATTATGAAGGGAGACAAACAACATCTAAAATTTAACTAAAATTCACGTCACCTAACTTGTTTATTTAGTATACCTTTTTATATAGTTCAAGCTCCAAGGTCATCACCACCAACACAAAAGAACTTCGACCATCTTTGTTGGTGGTGATGACCATAAGTTTGAGAAAATATAATGAAGTGGCCTAAATAAACCAGTTAGCTGAGTTTGATACGTCGTATGACATATTTTAGAGCGCAGCTCTTAGGCGCCCGGTTCCGCCTTGAGCGACGTCGGCGTTACCGCGCGGTGCATTATGGAACGTGTGACGTCAATGATGACGTCATCAGTGACGTCATTGGCATCGCCATCGTCATCTTCACTGATGACGTCATCAATGACGTCATCGGCATCCGTATCGTCATGGCCACTGATGACGTCATCGGTATTCGCATCGTCATCGTCATCGTCACTGATGACGTTGCTTCCGACGTCACTAGTGATGTTGACGTCAACAGTGACATCACTGGTGACGTCACTGATGATGTCATCGTCATCGTCACGTTACCTCGTAGGGTCACGTGACCCCCGTGAGGTCAAGTGACCACGGTGACGTCACATAACCCCCGTGGGGTCACGTGACCCTCGTGAGGCGACGGCGACGCTGCTCGGAGGGAGCGGTAGCAGATAGAATGAGGACGTGAGGAGGAGGGAGGACGGGTATACCTTCCCCTCAGTAGCCTTTCCTCCTCCTCCTCAAGAGGTGCGCTCTTATTCGGCGTTACAGGGAGTTGTAAACGGCTTTCATTTTTTTTCTCTTCTAGGTTTTGATATTTCTCTTCTTTCGCAGTGTCAGGTTAATTCAGCAAGGTTAATATTCACCAGCTCGCCTGCACCCTTCCTATAATTCTTTATATTATTTTTAAGGCTTTACAAATTTGCTTTAAAATCGCAGTGAAAGTCACATATATTCCTGCGCAAGTGAGGTGTACGTCCAGTGGGACATAGTATATGTGAATAAATGTCCCGATAAGTCGGTTTATTAACTAAAATAAGTTGAACCATATTTTTATTTTTTTATTCAAGATAAGTATATGGTTCTAATCAAAACAGTAAATTTTAGAAAGATTTCTTGGTCGCGGGAAGTGCGGTGACGCGCCAATGTAACCACTCGTCCAAAAGGCGCAAAGCTATTTTTTCGTCTCTTATCATCCGCGTTTTCGCACCGCGAGCATTGCGCCCGCGGCACGAGAGGTAAAGTTAGCGCACCGCCACTCTTCCTACGAACGCCAAATCTTTCTAAACTCAGTTCTTGCCAATGACTCTCAGCAAGTTTATAATTAAAACCATATGTTTATTTTCACGAACTAAAAATTGTAGTTCATTATTCGACATATTAAGACGATTAGCCCCCATATTACGTGCGCCTGGCGGTATAAACTCACAGGCACAGACCGCATTAGCATTGCTTTCGCGACTATTTTTAACCAAATTTATAAATCCTAAAATAATACCCTGTATATCCTCAAGCTAATAGTAACCAGAACGCACGACATCTTGCATTTCGAAAAAACAACAAAAACAGAGCCATAAAAAAATTAAAGATCAGGATATAAAGTATACTACACAATTATACTTTGGACCATTTGACTTCATCTGCTATTGCCACCAACCGTTTTAGTAGGTCACGAAGCATTGTAGCACAGCGTCTTCCCCATATATGCTACAGAAGAGAGCTTCCGTACTGGCTAGTGTAATACTTTCCTATATTAAAAATGAAGTTATCAGCAGCGCGAAAAAAACTCGCTAAGCTTGAGTTCAACTAAGCTTAAAATATTAGTTTACAAACCTGGACGTTTAGAGTCTCCAATGTTAACATTTTCCCCTTAGAAACAATTTTGTTGTTGAATGTAATAATAGTTGACTTCCCTAAAGGACAACTCCGCTCAGTTGAGAACATTTTGGTATTATCAGTGGTTTTACATTAAAAAAGCCATAATAAAAGGAGCTACGTCTTTTGCGTTGCGAAAAATAGGATATACTTATCTATTTAAGTGTTACTTTAAACATGAGCATAAAACGCACCAAAAACTTCGGCTTCGTCTGGCAACATTGGCCTCGGGTCACCAAAAACATGGCTATTACATGGTAAAAGGCACTGATCTCAATGACAATTGCTGGATCGCGTTTGCCCGCTCTGCGAATGCGGTCACTGGCGGCCATCTTTAGGTAGAGTTATATTACCTCTAGCCAAGGTACAGCTCCTGCAGCCACTGTAATCCATCCATGGCAGACAGCGTTATGGCAGGTGTGGTGGCAGGCTGCCGTCAAAATAGGGTGGATGATATTTCGTGCTTGATTGAAATTGTTTGACGAAACATGTTTTTGAAACCCAGCGTGAACGGTAGCGCGATCTTTGAGGACCCGGTGAAAGTTTCACAAAATCGCAGCACCGGGGGAAAAGCAGCACAGCTTGCATCGAAAGTCGCATCAAAATTAGCATCAAAAGCAGACGCCGGTACGGAGTCTGCTTTCGATGCGAGCTGCGCTGCTAACCCCCGATGCCGCGCTTTTGTAGAATTTTCTCCGGGTCCTCAAAGATGAGGCTACCGTTCACGCCGGGCTTCAAGAGTCTGCGTCGTCGAACAACTTGAATCAAGCACGAAATATCTCCCACGATAGAGTGTACTAGATCCACGGCTATTTTATGGCACCCGGCCGCCATTGCGCTCTCCGCCATATTATTATGATGGCTAGAGATGATATAACGCTACCTAAAGATGGCCGCCAGTGACCGCATTCCGGTCCATAGGAGGAGCTGGTCAAACGCGATCCAGCAAATAAACATAGAGATCAGTGGTACAAGGTGTCACGTGATCCTGCAAGCAACGGGATTGGGGCGATCCGGCGGGTTACCGTTGGAATGAGTGTGAGCCAGGCGCAAGTGTCGTCTGCACGACGGTCTTCACCATGTTTTGGTGTTTACGATATTCGACCCCGTCTGCACAGCTGCGGCACCAGTCTGCGCACGTAGTGTGAACGAAACGGCGGGACGGTCCCCAAGAAGCGCGGTGGGCAGCCGCGTTACGCCAATCATGTGGGCACCGCAGACCGCCGAGGGGAAACGTTGTTGACGTCACCCACTACGCCTGACCGGAGAAGTAAAAACAAACAAAGAGAGGCAATGGTAATGACGCTCAGTTCAATGTTAGCTACGCCAACGCCGTAGCGTTGACTGCGGTGTCGGTTGCGCCTCAATTCTCCCGCTAGAGTCAGTAAAGTTTGGCAACTTGCCGCGTTGCAAAGTTTGCCGGACCGTTTAAGAAACATATAGGCACAACTAGGTCTTAATATTTGACGTGTGGTCTTCCTGTGTTAGAGTGAAGAGGACTGCATTGTTTTTTTTGTTTTTTTTTTTATAAATTCAAACAAAGCGGAGTTCCCCTTTAAGCCACAAGAACGTATAACACGCTGCCAGTCAGAACGAGCCAGCTCAATGAAAGGCTCAACCTATCGACAATGCAACTCTTTGCATTAGCACCATAGGCCAGATTATTAGTTACACGCGAAAATGTGCTGTTATAACAGCGTTTTATTCATACCGTGCAGCGCAGAAAAGTCAGAACTGAACAAATCGCGGGTGGCGTGTTTGACTTCATGTGTGTGTTTTTCACTTTTTTCTTTAACAGGACGGTTATTTTATGCCACGTTGCAAAGTTATGTGCTGTGCTGATGGCACAGAACCTTGTTTTGAAGAACTTGCTGTGGATGGAATGTTCTGCCAGAAAAACAAGGTGAGCGCGGTACACGTCAAGATCTGCATTTGCATTACGCGATATTACAAAACATGCAACACTTTCGGGTGTTAAGGCTGGTTCACAGATTTGCTACAGCTTACGACTTCGTGCCTTAAAACCTCTTAAAAATCTCTTGCGACGAGAGAATGCACTAGCGCCCTTTTAGGTTCGACGTGGAACAATGAGTTTCTTTAGATCACTTTTTTCGAGCATCATTCTTTGTTTTTTGGTTTGAAAAACTTTCGACAACGCTATAAACGACAATTTTTAGCTCGTACATACATTCGCCGCAAAAACCGCAAAACGTTTGCTCTAGTCCATGGCCTCCGACATCCCGAAGCGCGCGCGAGCGTTCCCGTGCTTCGGGATCTCGGAGGCCATGTCTTGTCGTCCGATTCCAGGGACAACTCACAGATGGCGACAGCTTGGCAGTGGGTTTTTCGTCGTAAGTGATCGCAAGAACTCGGTCCTACGGTGGCATGAGCAAACACAAGTGCGTGAACGGGTCTTAAGATTCAGCTGCCAAGCAACAAAAAGTTATATAAATATGTTAACTGCCCAAAGTACGTAGTTAAAGCAGTTATCATGAAATTATATCTCGTTTTTTGGTATCTTTGAAAGCCTTCAAACTTACCGGCCGATCATTTCTCGGGGCAAAACCTGATGTTGTGATAATTCCAATGTGATTCAAATTTTCCAAACGACGCCAATTTTTTTACACCAAACAAAACGTTTATAGCGAAATTCAGAACAAGACTTTCAAAAAGAGAAACGCGAGCGATGTTTCAATGGCGGCGTTAATTTCAAAAACAAAACGTAAATATAGCCTTTTTTCCCCTCTGGACTGCTCACGGAGACGTTAAGCAACGACCGATATTATTTTTAATATCGGTCGTTGCTTTTTATTATTTTTATCGGGCAGCCTGCCCGATATTATTTTTAATATCGGGCAGGCTGAGATTGAGATCTTACTCGTCATCTGCCAAGAACAATAATGTCGATGATATGTCCGGACCGAAATCACTCGGCCCATTGCGGCGAACCAACACCGGCTAGAATAATCAAACCCCTTGAAAACCCAGCTTTCGGTTTCAAGTCAAAAGATCCCCAGGGGGTCCAAATTAATCCTCAGTCCTCCGCTGGGGCGTGCCAGATGCCCGTCGTTGGTTTGGCACGTAAAACCCCCAAATTCGATTCTTTTAACAACCTCCTCTACTTCCATGATACTCAGATGGCGCCAACTCAGGAACCCGAAATAATGGTGATTGGGCTGGCGAGCTGCTTAACGGTCCTACTGGAAAATCTCGGAGACGAGGGGACACAAAAATGGGGCATCTTAAAAAAAACACTACAGCTGAGTTGTGACGTTTTAAGGCGGCGTTGTGTTTTCCACCTTGTTTTCTTTCTTTTGTGTTTTCTCATCCCCGAAGTACCTCAGTAGTACCAGCAATTGGGCCCGTTGCCCAGCGTCCTTCCGCTCATCACCTGCACGCTCCGCGCGCCTTCACACACGATTTGTTTCTGCTCTTCCAGTTCCTACGTGCTGGGTCCATAGCTTAGTCAGCAGTGCACTTGGCTTCCATGTCGGTGACCGGGGTTCAATTCCCGGTGCCGGTTACCTCGAGGCCCAGCCAAACGCTGACACACCACTCTTTTCCAACCTGTGTCTGCGTTCGAGCTCACTCTGATGACGCCAAAATGCTAATGCACGGGTTTTGATCGTTCTCGGGGGTGTTAGTTAAACGGGTGTCTTCTTTAGCGGACTCATATGGCTCTTTTGAACCTGCACGGCGCGTCTTTTGACAAGCGCTTGTTATGCGGTTCAAGTTCAACGAGGATTTCGTTGTCAGTCAAAAAAAAAAAAATCCTCTCAGCAAGATATCTTACTCCCACTAAATATTTTTCACGCAGGTATGCTTCAGGCACAGGTGCGTCGACCCTCCTAACCTTCTCGCCACGAGTCCATAATACTCCGTATCGCTGATGAACGAACGAAATGGGAACATCGAGCAGACGGCAACATTCACAAGAATCAATATACTGTCTCGGAGAGGTGCTAGTATCTTCGAGAGTTCACAGATATTACTTATTTTATATTGGGCGAAGTTCGCCACAGTTGTACTTAGTTTCTAATAAATAAATCACGTACTTATTTTCTTGAAATTGCGCCCCAAGCATTGAGACTATTATTTGTGCCATGTTGTTTAAAAACTTTGTCTTTCCAGAAGAAAACAACATCCATTCAGCAAGTTTACTCTCACAAGCGTTTTTTTTCTTCATTGTTGTATTGGTTTTTGCATTCGCAAAAGGAGGTTTGCAGGGACCGTATTAACAGCTGTAGCGCCAGATTTCCGTGGGGTGATTCTATCTGCGATCTTAAGTTTCGCACACCCAACTGAAATCTGCACCGCGGTCCCCGTTTTATTTTACAGCCCTAGCGACGACACAGCTAAAAATATCAAGCAGTATTGCACTATAAAAATCAAACGTTGCATGAGTTCTTTTTTTTTCTTGTTACACTTTTCTTTTTGTTGGCGTTGACGTCAAGTTAACGCCGCAAAAAGCAACAGGTTCGAGGTTTTTCGATTGCTTTCGGCCGCTTTGATACGATTATAGATTACTCGATGGCTTTAAAACAATTAACAACGCCATAATAGCTTAGCTGAATCTTACTCAGAGTCCATTATCTTTGTTTTCTTTTAGTGGAAGAGGAGGGGGGGGGGGAGAGAAGAGGCTGGAAATTTTACCACTCAACTGCCTCGGCCAGGTGCTTTGTGATTTTCTCTATCTTGTGTGAGATACTATGGGGCATCCGCCACTGAGTATAAAGCCACAAACCCCTTCGAGGTTCACCTGCAAAACAAGATAATCTCTGAGATCACAACCGAGGTGGGATGATATTCTCTTCTCTTAAGTGCTAAAGCACTGGGCTTGGTTGACGGGAGCAGTCGAGGATTCTACGGGCGTTACGTACAGCTAAAACACAATGCACCACCGTGGACACTACGGTCTCAAACACCCGACCTGGCCTTTGTCTCTGTCTCCGGTACACGGGAGAGGAGAAACAGACTATAACCTCTAAATTTCTCAAAAGGCTCGAAAAATGGGATCTCCACTTTGTAGCTCTCTCCTAGTTCAGACACATTTCTCTCAAGAACTGGCAAGTATACGCCAAAGAAGAATGAAGGGCTTTTTAAACATGCTTTACACTATAATACAGAAAAGATATGTTCGGATTTGGACAGTATGCATATACAGTCCACTACAAATGTATATATATATAACCAACAGCCGCAATACGTTTCGGAAAAGCTCTTTTTCTCACATGCAACAGAGGACATTACGAATCACAAATATTTCACTTCATTTCATTTATTTATCCTCAGGGCATAAAGCATTGCAGAGGGGGTGTGGGGGCACAATGAGTCGGTAGTGAAAAACTCACGTGGAAAAATTTATAAAAATCATGATTCACAATATCAAGTAAAGATACTAATCAACGCCGTTTTTAAATGAGCACTGTCAACAATTGAAACAATGGTGGTCGGAAGGTGGCTCCATTCATGGAATGTGCATGGTAGAAAAGAATGGTAAAGAGCACTGCAATTTAAATAAGCGATGCCAACTTTACGCTGATGATCCACTCGTGATGAAAAATAAAAAGGAAGTTCAAAAAGCCTTTCTCGCACTGTAGCATTAGTGTAATAAATTTTGTGAAATAGGCTTAAGCGAGCGATTTTTCTGCGTGCTGAGAGATGTGGAAGTGAAAGGTTAGCCTTCATTAACGATACACTTGCGGTTCGATGGTAGTTAAAGCAAATAAAACGTGTTGACCTGTTTTGTATGGCTTCGAGTGATGCAATTAGTGAAGATTGACCACGGTCCCAAATAGATGATGCATACTCTAGCTTTGGTCGTACGAGTGTTTTGTACAGTATCACCTTTAATGATTGGGGTACCAATGAGAAGTTTCTGTCCAAGTATCCCAGCATGCGATTTGCATTGTTAGTTAAGTTATCTATGTGATGTTTCCATGTTAGATCAGACGTGATTTGTACATCAATGTATACATATACTCCGAGACCGACTGTAATGCAATTCCTTTCATATTATAATCGGCTACTGCTGTACATCTGGATAGGAGCATATAGATTTAGATTTAGTTGCTAACACTCGGAGGCGCGGTGGCCCAATAGACGTCAGTCGCAAAGGCACGTATCATAATACAAACGGGAACACATGGACATGTCGGTGTCACATGCATAATACTAATATGACAATGCGCCTTAATTGCATACTTCCGTTTTGAAAAGCTGACTCTCTCTAAGGCAAAGCGCCGTCCTACGGATCCGTGGCGGGTTCGTATCCCGGCCGAGGTGCCCCGTCAATCAAACGGGGGCTTCTTGCGGAGAGGCCGCTCTGTAAGCGAGTTTACGGTCGCACGTCAAGAGATCCCCAGGGCCCGTTTGCTCGAAGCTGGTTGACTAACTGCGGTTAACCGGATTTCCCTACGAGGGGGAATTTCGGGTCACGTGACCGGCAGAGTAAGGAGGGCGGGGAAACATGGCGGTGCCCCGGTGAGTGAGCGCCGCTCGCTTTGGAACTAATACGTCGTAGTAGCTGCAGTAGCGGGTCGCTGGTCAGCAATGAATGGTGCAGGAGGTTTTCGCGTTGCCTTACCTCACTTAAAACGCAAGACATGAGCAATGACCTCGCCGCATTTTTTTTAGATAGACTTTCGACTCTGGCCATTCCTAAGCCTAAATGAACGCGATAGTTGTCGGCATGGCAACGCCTTTGAAAAGTGGATTGCCTTGACTCAATCGGCCAGGTATTGATAGCACAAAAAAGCAGAGAGCGTTCCCATCAGGGTGTAAGATAGACAGGTGGTGAAACGAGAGCCAAATGAGCGACGGCATTGTGTCACCCTCGGTTTTCTCTTTTTCTGTAGCGCCATCTATGTGGAGCACCGCGAACTCTCACTCCAAGTGGGCGAACGCTGGCGACCGGTTAAACTGATGAAGAAGGTTTCTCGTGGATTTTTAGTGGAGGACTGTTGTGCTTTCAGTTTATTTTGCGCACTCTCCCATAGAGTTCCATGCCAATTCGATTCCAATTTTTTTCTTCTCGCCGCAGCGCCATCTGTCGCAAATCGGGGGTACCCGCAAGCCACCCGCAAGCAGACGAGTACACAATCCGGTCACGGCGCTGTGGTAGGTTTCTATGGGCCGTTTCCCCACCTGTCTATCTTACACCCTGGTTCTCATAGACCTTTCGCTAAATTTTAAGAGCACCGAGGTGCATGCTACGAGTGTAGTTACACGCGCTGCACCTGGTGGGGTCTGCAGTAATAACTGTTCTGAAGCAAAACGCCTAAAACAAATTTTGCCGTGCACGCGCGTTCGTCAAGGATTTATTACGATTATTTACTTCAAATCTTTTATAAGAGGAAGGCCAGCGCGCGCGGATAGTACAATTACACCTCCAGCGTTCTTCTCGATGTTCGGGTAATTTACTAATAGGTCAATTTTCAGTGGTGCCGAGTTACAGGTTTTTCAATTTATGACGGTGTTATATACAGTTCTTACATGCTGGCCAACCATGCTGCCGGTGTACCGCCCGCCTTTCACTGCTCACTTCTTTCTCATCGTTTCTAGGCCTCAACTTCGTCGTCCTCTTTCGAACTCGGAAGGAAATTTCAACGAGGCTTTTCTTCACTTCATACAGCCAAATATTTAGAAAATTTCCAAACAAGGGTTAATTTAGTTTTACCTTGCCGATTATTTGTACCACGAGCAATAAAAATTGTTTCTTAAGCCCAAATGTATGCCGCGCTGCGTCGCGAAAACCAGGCAGCGCGCATATTTGGGTCGCCCATTTCGGGAACCTTTCCACGGAAGCCACTTACATTCGCTACAGCCAGTAGATGACACCAGCTACTACCCCATAATAAAACAGGGAGCTATAGCTCATCCAGCCCTCGCCAAACTTGGCTAGGTACTTGTAGGTACCAAGTAGGGAAGGGCGGTTAACTTTTAACCGCGGTTAAAGTTAACCGGCTTCGAGCAAGCGGGCCCAGGTGGTCGGAGTTGATCCTCAGTTCCTCCGCCGGGGCGCGCCAGATGCCCGTTGTGGGTTAGTACGTAAAAAAAGGCAAATTTCAGTTTTGAGTTCGTTTTGGAAAAGTATAAAATTTGCGTAAGTTTAGTGTATTGCTTATCTTAACGGTGTGCTGCACCTTTCTCCTGTTTCCGACCGTCATTTGCATATGAACCTTTTTCCAGTACGCTTCTGCGGATGCGTGCACTCCCGCTGTCGCAATTTTCACTGGACACCAGGCGCTGTACCCTGCAAAAATTGCGACAGCAACATTGTCAGCATCTATCTTCGCGTGTACTTAGTCTATATTTACGCTTTATTTATTAATATCGGTAGTATGAGGTATAAAAAAAACACTGAAAACCTATGCAACGGCACGCTGCCAATGTGTTTTGACGGCCGTAGGCATGTTGCGCTGCTTTTCTAGTGCAGTTCGCAGACAACTCCCCAGACGGCGCTTGGTACTCGAAAAAGTTGGAGCGACTATTCGTATACATCCACCTTACAGGTATAAAGAAAAGATGGAGGAAGCGGCTATATCAACTGGAAAAAGAATTTTTTCGCTGTGCCCGGGAGTGCCAATACAGACACAAAGTGGGAAACGGAGGTGCGTAAGAAAGTGCGTGAGGAGGAGGCCCTACAGTAGGCAGATGCGCCCCAGAGGAAGTCAACGCTGCGGGTGTACAACCTCAGAAAAAATAGTTTATCAACAGCCCGGGCAGCCGCTTGCTTTCTGAGGCACGTGCAGGAGGGCTGAGAACGCTAGTGTACCAACAAAAATATAATCGGATGGTGGAAACAACAACATGCCGGGCTTGTGGAGAAGAGGATGAAACTATCGAACAGATTGTCCTCTCATGCACAAGCCTGCAACCAAGGCATCCGGCGTAGTGGCACCACTCTCCTGAAAACGTACAGACACCTGGCCAGGCCCTTCCACAAGCCCAATTGCTGGCGGAAGCACTCGGATTCCAATCACCTGCGACGGGGTCAGTGCTGAACGCGTTTCTACACAGAGATGCAGCTGCTGTCCCTAAAAGTGAGGTTGAAACGC